TGGGACCTCCCCCGATTGCCATGAGTTTTCAAAAATAATGGCTAATGGCTCTGCAATCTCACCCACCAACTCCTTTAATACCTATGAGTTAGTGAGATTGCTCTTAGTCAGTAATTTAAGGTACATAAATGCTGTTGCTTAAGTTGCTGATGCTTTCTGGTGGCCTAAAAAACTTCCACCTGGTGAATATTAGAGTCTGTTATCCTGGTCTTTCAGTGTAATTTTTTTTAAATTAAGGATAGCTATTAGCAAGTTGAAGTGAATAAGAAGTAAACCGCTGGTCATTACTAAATTAATATGCATATTCAGATTTTGTTTGGCTAAATATATGTCAAGCACACAGATAATCAAAAGAGTTATTTTATTATTTACATGCTTTACAAATATATTCTTGCAAATGAACAAAAGTCTCTGTGAGGATAACCTCACACATCCGTGTATTCATGATATATGCGCACTTCTGATCTTCTGACGCTTTGAAGTGACCTGATACTTTCACTCCTGGTTCGCATATTTGATTTCTTGAACAGCCTTCGTGAAAATGATCTACACATGAAAAAGTAAATTATTGGATCTAGACATACATTACATGCAGACAGGAAAAGTGTCATTTCCTTGCAGTAGTACAGAATTTTATGTGCTGAATCATCTAAAAGTTTATCTATGTGGCTAAAAGTAAAGGGTATTCTACACAAATGATATGGGAGAAAGCATGTGAAAAATACAGCCACAACAACCCTTATGCTTTGGTTGTGTTTTCGTTTTCTGCTTGATGAGCTAATAAATTGCTTGCTTGACTTGTATATGTACCTGGATATAGCAATGTAACATCCTATTAGTACTATAAGTACTATTACAAACATACAGGTATTGATATAAATGACTGCTTCGTGCCATTTTACTCCCAAGGGAGTTTTAAGTTTTATGCAATCATCTATATTTTTCTTTGTTGGATATTCATTAGTAAGAATCAAATTTGGTAACGCTAGAAAAGCCATAACAACCCAAACACATGCAGACAAAATCTTGGTGAAAGTAATACTGTACATTCTGGAATCCCCAAATGGCTTTACCACTTTCAGATACCGGTCAATGCTAATGAGTCCAAGAAACACAATTGTAGTATACATGTTTGCATAAAACAAAACTGTGGAATATCGGCATAGAAAAAAGTTAAAGTGCAATGGTCCGAGTCTCAAGTCCTGAATTATTTTAAATGGAAATGTCAGTGTCATTAGGAGGTCTGCAACCACAATGTTTTTGAGGTAAAAGATAAAACTTGTTTTGTTTCTGATGTGGAAGAAAATCCATACTGCTAGACCATTCAGTAAGATGCTTGCCAGGAATATGATGAGGTAAAGGACTGGCAAAACAATGGTTGTAAATTCATTTTGGGTGGAGTTCCCAAGTAGACCTGTTGTGGAATTAGTTGAAATAATGTCTTCTTGGCCCAGATGATAATCTATAGGAATGATGGAAAGAAATAATGTAAGTACGTTTTGACAGTTGTATAAATGATTTTAGCAGTTGTTCTCCAAGGCTTGTGGTGTTATTGTCTTCGGCTGAGCCCAAATGATTCTCAGATGAACCAGTTTAGAAAACGTGAACTTCTTTAATAGAATATCCTTTAATATTATACATTTTAAAATAAAAGCATAAAGCACTTGTTGGCCACAATAAATCAGAATACTGTAAAGTATCAGAGGGGTAGCCGTGTTAGTCTGAATCTGTAAAAAGCAACAGAGGGTCCTGTGGCACCTTTAAGACTAACAGAAGTATTGGGAGCATAAGCTTTCGTGGGTAAGAACCTCACTTCTTCAGATGCAAGTCACTTTTAGACTTAAAGATGCCACAGGACCCTCTGTTGCTTTTTACAGAATACTGTAGGCATTGGTTGTTCCAGGCTGTTGGAACATAAGGACAGTTCTGCAATTTAATTGATAGAAAAAACCTGTGAATATGGCTAAAACGAATAATGCATTTTGACTTTCTCCTTTAATTAGTAACCGTAATACTTGTCTTTTTCTATAGAATACCTCAGTCTTTAAAGCATGTTACAAAAATCCCTACATCTCTGTTACTGCATTATTGGGTAGGGATCCCAAACAGCTCCAATATTAACCCTACATTTACAGTTTAAGAAACTGCGGCAGAAAGGTTAAGGGAGCTTCTCGGAAGAAGGAGGGCTGCTGAGCTTGGCACAGTATGCTTCACTGTCTTGTGAGGTTGGGGGCAGGTGGAGCTCTGAAAGATCAGCTTCTAGCCAGACTATCCATTTTTTCAAGAAAATGGCTGTTACACTGCTGCTTTTTCAAGCTTGGTGCTACCGCCCCGGCCATATGGAGGTGTGATATGTATTTCTTTGCCCTGAGCAGTTGAGGCTGGTACACCTGCCACACAAGCACGGGTTGTACGGTCACAATGGCATCGGAACAATTTTTATAGTGGAGTGCTGAAAGCCATTGAACAAAACTGTGTATGATGGAAACCACTTCAAGCCAGGGGGTGCTGCTGCACCCCTCAGCACCCCTAGTTCCAGCACCCTTGTATTGTCAATGATTTTTCTCCTCTGCACCCTGCAAGGGCTAGTAGGATCGAGTCCTAAGAGATTTGTCTAGGCCGTGGAGGATAACGGTGTGAGGTGCTGAAATTGGAGTTGAGGGGTCTCTCCTCCCTGTCAAGTGCTCCCATTTTGCTTCTCACTGGTGTACTATTTTTATTTACTTTTAATAGCAGGCCAAATGACACATACTGAAAACATCATGGTTTGAATTAATCTATTTTGTATAAACTGAATGCATGGAGGACTTTCTAAATATAACTTTCCTGATACTTCAAGCTTTCATCTCTTGCAGCTGAGCTACTACTGCAAATATTTTTCTGATAGCTTAGAAAAACTTCCTTCATTGCCCTATTACCAAAAATCTCAGGAGAGTTCTCATATAAGAAATATAGTAATCGAACTTCTGTTACTCTTTGGATAATTTCTGAAGAAAATGTGCATTTGCAATCACTTTGTTAAATTCTGCTGCAAAGTAAAAAAGTGTGATGCATACATGCGTTTGAAACATTTTTTTTTTAAATAACTTTTTTGCATTGGCGTTTTTGTCTAAGAAATCTACAGTGGTAGTTATTAAAGCACAATGTACCGTTGCACTTAAAAATACATTCCCAGTTCAAAATTCCTGCTAAGGTGAGGTTAGTTGTCTCTTCAATTAATTTTTTGTGGGGTAAATGAGTGCACTGAGGCCTGAAATGGGGAATAAATGTGCTACCGGTATCTTTCAGGTTGAAAATATCTTTCTGTCCTCTGAGTAGACATGCTTGGTGCAGGATCCATTGGAAGAGAGATGATGGTCTCTGCCTGAACAGTGCTAGGATTTAAGCCTGAATGGAATAATACACTGAAATTGCATGATCCTAATGGATACTTCAGTTTCATAGGAGAGCCATTCTCTTCTGTGCTGCACCCTGGTCTTGCAGGGCTCAGCTAGGACAGTGTGAGAATGGGTGATTTCTGTTGGCACAAGATTTACAGTAGATGTGCAAGGCCGTAGAATTTGTGGGTGGAATGATGGCTTGGCACCCATATAAAAGGCCTTGTGATCTACTAGGTAAGTAATCAAGGTATTTGGGTGGAATCACCCAGCTAACAGGTTTGTTCTCAGCTGCAAGGACTCTCTTCCTGGTATCTTACTGTCATTGTTTAATGACGTTGTGACCTATTTTTGCTATTATATTATAATCAAACACTTCTGCTAGCACTTTAAATCTCCAAAATACTGTACTAGCATTTGTTAATCAAAATAGTACTCTGTCAGATTAGTGGCATTATTATTTCCATTTAACTGATGGAAAGAGATTGAGGTACCGCGGGTGCAATTCTTTGTTGTGCTCACTGGTGCAGAGGCCATAAACGCAGTGGAGCCAATCACCGGGAAATTCTTTTGTTGTAAAGGGTAAGGAGTAAGGTCCATAAGTGTAGCACAGTGGGCACACCAGGACCCCCATCCTCAAAAAAGTAAGTCAGACCATCTCTGTGCTCTGGTTGTTCCTGGCTGCTGGAATAGTCCATAGGGCCATAGACAACCAGGCACGTGCCAAAGTAGCCCTCTGGAGGTCAAAGCAGCCGCTTGCCAGCCTCTGAATAGAGTGGCTTTATGCCACTTCTGTTGCTTAGCCTGTATCCGCTCTGAGCAGAACCAGAACTGAGAATTGAGTCAAGAGGGGTTAAGTGCCTGAGGCCATGCACAGATGAAGTGGCAAAGTGCCGTCCCTTCACCTGTCTGTGCCTTTTATTATTTTGACCAGCAACAGGACATTTTAAAGAATTGAAATGCTGCTTTTCAATTAAAAGTTGGAAGGAAAATTAAGTATTTGTAGAGACAGCACTGTACATTTATGACGTAAAATACTTTTTTTGTGAGAATAATGAATAGATTGTACAGTATTCTGAGCGAGACTTTTTTGGAACATTTAGCAAACTAAATAAGATGGACTCTAACTGTACAGAGGAATATTTGTATCAATTTATTACAATTAATAATTATGGACCAGGTCATATTAAGGTACTGATTGACTTTGAGTCCAAGGGGAGCTGAGTGCTCAGCATCTCACAGGATTAGATCCTATGTTTTGCAGTGCTGATATCATGGCTTATGTAGGTGTGTAAAGATTTAGCTGACACAACCTGTGCAAGTGCAGTATAATCAGAGTTTATCTGTTATACTTACCAGTACACTGGGAGTGCACTGTTGATCTTAATTATAGATAATCTTTTGGCTCTTTGTCATAGCAGAACATTGTCTTTTATTTAAAATGATTTATTCACCCAGAATCAGGAAGATGAGAATTCTGTTTGGCCCTTATTAAATTGCTAAATATGAAACGCAATTTACTTAAATTCACAAAGCACAAAATTACAGTCATTGTGGATTTTAATCACATAAATATTTGTGATCAAACATCTAACATTAATTTTGTAATTATTAATGTATCTTAATGTTTCTTCTAAAAATAATAGTAAATAATATTGTTTAAAATTGCCTCTACCTTGAACTTCTATGGTGTATTGAATCAGATTGGAAATCCATTGAGGAAATATCTGACAATATTTTGATAGCCTTTTTTTAAAGGACTTATTTTTTTAAAATATTGCTCTTGATAGTAACTACTTCCAAATAGGGGATACTATAAACTTTTCTCAGTTAATTCCAACTTTTGAGAATTCTTTCGAATTTACCTGGTGTTTTTCCATATGACAAGTTGAACCCCATTATTTTTGTTGCTGTTGATTTTCAACTGAAACACTTTTCAGGGGAGGCAGGGTTCATGGTCCTTGGACTCAGCCTGGGCTATACCAGCTTTAACTTCTGAAAAATATAGGAAATTAAAAATAATTAAAAATAAGCAGAAGTTTTTGCACAACAGCAGCATCTTCCAGCATTTCAGAAACAAAACTGATCAGAGAACACAGACAGCTGGTTGTCTGAACACTTTATAGGTATTCTTCCACTTGAGTATTCCCTAATTCTTTACTCTTGTCTTCCCTCACTACACCTAAGCCTCTTTTAAAGTATTGAACACCAGCATGGATTGGTGTACAGATGTATGCTAATATTCAAACGTAACTGCCTCACTTTGCTCAGTCTGTTGTCCTAACTACTGAAATGCCCTTCGTTGCTACTTCAACAATTGTTTCCCTTCCTTATGAGCTGCCCTTGCAATGGACATCTTCTGTCTTGATGAAGAACCTTTATGCCCATCCCTTGTTGGATGAACACATGCTTAAGTCTGTTCTCAATTTTGGAATTCCTGGTGGCCAGTTTGGGCTGTTGCTCTTGTCACTGGATCCTCTGATGGCCTTCTGTCTCGACATATTAAACCTTTATATGCCCTCTATGGATAAACTGCAAGGAATAAAAGAAGGTACCCGAGTAAAATACTGACTATATCTCGTGCTATGAAGAAAAATACTTAGAAAAATTGCATGTTAAGTGCAATATCTTTTATTTTTCAAACTAAAAAATTTAATACACAGCCACAGTATACATCACGTGGTGTTATATATATTATACATATATAAATATAGTGTCTGTGATATCATTAGCTCTCGACTTAATATATGGAGTGTGGTGTGTGTTTTATCTTTTTGTTGGAAATTTTAATTTTTTTGCTCGCTTCCTTGTGGTTTGTATGGTGTGTTTCTATTGTGTAGCCTGTTGGGAGGTCAGCTTGAAGAGATAGCAAGAAAGTCTGGGGCCTGAAGGGACTCTGAATGGAAGAATGAGACACTACAATGGCAATATTATGATGCTTTGACACTGAACATAATGTGTATCAAAGTTTAATTATCAGAAATTTTCTCCACTGTTGATTTATAAAATAACTTTGCAAATTGCTGATGTGTTTGTTATAGGAAGTAATTGTACAGATTCTCCACTCCTGGCTCTCCAAGCTTTTTTATGTATGATTGTTAGGAAAAAACACAGCAAGACAGACCATTTCTCAGCAGTAAGCAGTGACACCTTTTAATGGCTCTGCCTTTCAGAAGTTGAAAGGAACTCCAAAGCACAGAATCAGTGAAACCCACCAAAACTTATGTATGTTGGAGGACAAAACAGTGTTGAACTAAGTTTTGCAAGGTTGTCACCCCTTTATCAGGGACTGACAATGAATATATTTTATGATGTCACTACACGGTAATAAAGCATGTCACTTTTTTCACTACTGCTACATTTTAGGTACAAATGAAACTCCAGTCCAAACTTTTAAAACTTCATTTTAATTTTGTTTTTTAGTATCTGGTATTGAGGTCCATTTTGGGACATTAAATGAAAAGAGATGGGGCATGTAGATGACAACTTGATATCTCTCGGGCATAGGAAAAAATATTATTGGCTAATATCACTATCAATTGTAATCGTATAAATCTGCAGCTACATCATCCATGGTCCAGCAGACTCTGGGATTAAAATATGGTGAACTGTATTAAGAGATTTTATAAATTCTCAGTGGTATTGTCTAACCACCTTTCTTCTGAGCTCCTGTTAATCCATGTAAGCCCTTTTTCATGGTCCCGCAAAGGCACTTTTTCTGTGCTATTGTTATCAGGTCCTAGCAAAGTAGTCTCTCAAGGGTCAAACTCGCTGGATGTCAGGTCTATGATGATGCAACTATGGTGTGGCAGGCACTCTGGATACAATTTTGGTTTGAAAGGAATCTCTCAGTTAAAAATAAATGTATGCCTCTTCCCTTGTCTGATGGACACTTCTCTGAGCAGGATTCCTTGATTAATTCCTTAAGGAACTAGGAGCAAGTAATAACTCTATATGCTTATCACATAGGAAGGTTCTGCCTAGTGGCTTTAATTCAACATAACAAATGGATATTTATCCTTTTATAAAACAGAGGGAATAGGGGATTACCATGTTCACAGGGGAAGGGGATCATCTTTAAGATGCAAGGACCACAGTCTCATGCTTACAGGAAATCTTAAATAACTTCTTTCATAATGGATTCTACCTGGACAACCATTATTCCTATCATTCAAGGGAATTATTTACAATCCGTAGGTCTCTGACATGCTTACCTGCATCTACTGATGAGACTCTAGCACCAACAATTCCTCCTGTGCTCCCTCTGCAACCTACATCTCTAATGTCACACACTCTCCTTTGGCCTCTCATTGACTTCCTGAGTTCATAGCAGTTGTAGCAAGTCACCTATGGAAACAGGGTCACAGTCATGGCCTATCCCCACAAGTGGCTAGTGTGGGATAATTCTTTTCAGGTGACAAAAATGACAGCATCCCAGCTCTTACATCTGTTCAGACTTTGGGTTTTATAAGTGAATCCTAAAGAGAGTTTGATGATTCTTGCCCAGAACATCAATCACATGAGGGATTTTCTGTAATACAGTCCTCAAGGAGAGCTTTTCCAGCTGCATAGAGCATGGCGAAAGTGAAGTCAGCCAGGGAATTCCAAGTCCTGTAGCACCATTTGTCAGAGAATGTAGCTGCTCAGGCCCTGCTGTATCCTCTCTTGAAATAATACCTTGGACTTTCTTCTCTCTCTGGACCCTATAATTGCTCCGCCTACAAGTCAGCCAGGAACAAACCTTAGAGAATCAATAAATATCCCTTTCCTGTTTAAAACTTTCTTATTCCTTTTGTCTAAATGTCTTTGATTTTAAAACAGTTACAGGAAGTACCAAAATATTGACAGGAAGCAACAACAACAACAACAAAATAAACAACAACAACAACAACAACAAACACTTCACAGATGTGAAAGTCTTGACTGTTTCAACACCTCTCAGATAAAATGTTGTTTCCTGGGAACTCTAGGGCTTGAATCTCTTAAAGGGAACTCCTCTATCTGATGAGCTTCACTACGATTATTTCTATTGTGATGGCTCCTAGAGGCTCCAATCAAGATCCCATTGAGCTAGGAGCTGTACAGATGCATAACAAAAAGACAAACACCTTATCAATTTAATGGAGTTTTTGGATAATGATTATCTGTCTAGTTAGGGAAGCACATGTTTTCAAGTAGTACAGTTGTGCGGAAATTATTCTGCTTAGATTTAAGGCTCCATATAGATGTTCTGAAGAAAAGGCATCTTTGCCTTCAGTGAAATTCTGTCAAGTCAACAAGTGTTAGTCAGGAGAGACAACTTATGTGTAATGAGGTATCTCAGTAGGAGGGTGGGGTTGATGAATAAGAACTGTAAGCTTATCTTTGAGAACTAGGGGCCACCAAATTAAATTAATAGGCAGCAGGTTTAAAACAAACAAAAGGAAGTATTTCATCACACAATGCACCATCAACCTGTAGAACTCTTTGCCAGAGGATGTTGCTAAGGTGAAGACTATAACAGGATTCAAAAAAGAACTAGATAAATTCATGGAGGATAGGTTCATCCATGGCTATTAGCCAGGATGGGCAGGGATGGTGTCCCGAGCCTCTGTTTGCCAAAAGCTGGGAATGGATGACAGGGGATGGATCACTTGGTGATTACCTGTTCTGTTCATTCTCTCTGGGGTATTTGGCATTGGCCACTGTCAGAAGACAGGATATGGGCTAGATGAACCTTTGGTCTGACCCAGTATGGCCATTATGTTTTTACCCTAGTATACTTCTGGAATTCTTTGCTTTAAAGCAGCTCATATTACAGGAAATGTCATCCTGCTAATGGTGTGAGAAGAAATATAATATTCCCAGGAGAATTCACACTCTTCCACATATTGTTTCACCCTTAGCTTTGGAAATGAAGAGTCTCATTCCTCTCCTCTGTATAAAAAAGGGGGCAGATCTTGATGGAATACTACAGGGTCTCATTTAGTTGGTGACTAACTTTGTCCACTCTTGAAACAGACCCTTTTTCTTCCTTATAAATAGCATTTCTGTGATGGACAAGGTTGATCTCCACCTTCTTACACTTGTTTATTGCCAGTTATCTAAGCTTGAGTGAAAGTCTTTTTTTTTCCTCTAGCCCAATTTCATTCCATGCAAGTGTGTCATACCTCCCATCTTATGCATATTTGTACATCTGTAGTAAAAATCCTGCTATTCCATGGGTCCTTCGTACCTATTCAGCTGTCACTCTAAGGGTTCAGAGTAGCAGCCGTGTTAGTCTGTATCCGCAAAAAGAAGAACAGGAAAAGAAGTGGGCTGTAGTCCACGAAAGCTTATGCTCTAATAAATTTGTTAGTCTCTAAGGTGCCACAAGTACTCCTGTTCTTCTTTTTTCTAAGGGTTCAGTAGAACCTGCACCTTTATTCAGTTGGACCTTAAATCAAACTTTTTAGCATTTTTGTGGTTTGTCTCTAGTTGGTTGGGGGGGTGTATTTGTTTAGTGTCAGTAAAAATAAAAGGTTGGCAGTTGCAATAAATGTAGGTTAAGTACATATTGTTGCATAGATGGTGCAATCTTTTACTACCAATGTTGATAGACTAGTTTATGTGCATGACTGATATAACCTCATACTAGAATTTAAATCATAGGTTACAAGAGATTACATAGGGAGATGTGGGATGAGTCAATAGTGTTTCTAATTACTACAGCTTTGAGTTCCCTGACCTGTTTCGGAAATGTAGCGCAGGGAAGAGAGTTTTAGAAAATATGTAGAGGGAAATCTGCATCTGTAAATCTCATTGCTTTTTTCTTGATCTTTAATTCACTAAGTTTCTATTTTATCTTATAAGTTTTGTTTTCCCTGGACTAAATTGCATATGTTAGGTCATAAGTCTAATATCTGTTTAAAAAAATGTTTAAATGTGAAACTTGTGTACTACAGTATAACTTTGTTGATATATTGCATTTGCCAATTATTCCAGTCATCACCATTCACATTGGTTT